TTTCCTTTTTTCTAGTGTGGTCTGCAGCAATACTTCCTCGTGATTCAAAGGAATTTCCACCTCCAATGAAAACGTTTCAAGGCTCCAGGGAAATTAGGAAACAATCTACAGGTGATTTGTGCTGCCAAATCTGGATTCTTAATCTTTATTTGGCTCACAAGGTGTGAATCTATGAAGTCTAAATGGCAAAGAAGGAAGGTTCAGTAAGATTGATTTAAAAAAAAAAAGCCAGCTGAAGCAATTGCATAAATTATTTACAGAAATACATTATTAAAGAAATGTATTAATATGAGAAAAGCACTGCTCCAAATCTGCTTATAGAATCAAAGCAAAGTTAGAAAATTACTTCCAAACAATTCAATTGTATTTATTTGTGAACCTGAACACTGTAAAGTTTTTAATATTACTTTTAAGTATGGCCTGAATGTGTAATCATATAAAAGCAAAAAAGTAAAATACATGGCATTTTATCCAATTTAGCCTTTCCCCATGGGCACACAGACATGGCACAAACAGTCCTCAGCAATCTTTTTATTTCCCCATGATGCTGTCTTCATCTCATTCCCAACTGTACCTTAGGCGGTCTTATTTTACGTGTACTTATTTTAACTAGTGCTTAAGCAGGCAACAAGTCATAGCGATTTTACATAGCTGTGGATACAATCCAGAGGTGGTATTCAGCAGGTTCTGACCAGTTCTGGAGAACCAGTAGCAGAAATTTTGAGTACTTAGGAAAACTGGTTAATATCACCTCTGACTGGCCCCACCCCCATCTATTTTCTGCCTCCCGAGTCCCAGCTGATCGGGAGGGAATGGAGATTTTACAGTATCCTTCCCTGACACACCCACCAAGCCATGCCAGCCCACCAAACCACACCCACAGAGCCGGTAGTAAAAAAAATTTGAATCCCACCACTGATACAATCTGACATGGTGGTCTGTTTTATCAGTGATGCTGTTAAGGCGACTGTAGCCAATCAGATCAGCTGGGCATCAATTAGCCATTTTGGCCTGTTGCTGAGGACACAACCCTTCCCTTCTGCTCTCTGGGTACAGTCTTCCAAAACCACTTTAAATTAAATTCTCCCTCTTTACCTGTTTGGTTCTTAATCAATCTCAGCTCGGAGAACTAGACCCAAATAGTACTTATCTGGTAGCTATGGTGGTGGTGATGGGGTGGCTGTGTCATGGAACAGGAAAAACTGGTCATTCTCCCTGCTGCTTCACAATTGTGACCTCATTCCCTCTCTTTGCTTGTTGTTGTTTAGGCTGTTTGAAAGGTGGGTTTAGTATTTTTCTGGAAGAATACTAAACATTTATTTAAACATTAATGCAAACAAAGCACCTTTTGAATCAGTATAATTTTCAAAAATGTAGCCATAATTTTTGCACAGCTAACGTTGCAGCTGCTTTGAAAAATGTCCCTGGTTGTCTTTCTGGGTATATGAATGCAAGGATTACACTTCCATTGGGCTTTTCTTCCATGAATTTAAGTGCTTGCAATTCAAGATTCCGTGTAAGCCCAACTAGTATTTGTTATGTTTATTTACATTTAATTACACCAAGCCATTTTCAGGAAGCCTTTGTCATTTCCTTACATATAGCCAGAGATGGTATTCAGCCGTTTCCCTCCGGTTCGGGCAAACCAGTAGTGACGGCTGCAGGAGGCTCCGCTCACCCACCCCAATGTAATGCGCAAGCACTGGGCATAAGCAGTAGGCAGCACACACTCAAAATTTGCGAACCGGTAGGGACGGTAAGTGAATCCCACCACTGCATATACAGCTATTACCAGTATTGTTCTTTTTCTTAATTTCTGAACAGAAGAAGAGACATCTGAAAAGACTATGTCTGCAGAGACAGTATACAAGTTTTGAGGACCTACACTTCAGCAGACACTATTTCAAACACTGCTTCTAAGGTTTTTACATTTAACCTATATTTTTTATTCGTTTTTGTTCATGGGAGTTCAAAGAATCCCCCCCCCCCTTTACCGGAATAGGATATTAATTGAGGATAATTTATTTTCATATGGTCACAATTCTCTAGAATATTTGACTAGTTTTAACAGATTTAAGTGTCAATAAATGGCTTCTCATAGTAGTAACTATGGAAGTTACTACTTTTGAAGTGGGCCAAAATCATTTACAGAAAAAAGATCCTGCAGAATACAAAGGACATATTGGCATGAAAGATCAATGGGACTTTACATTTTCGGAGTGCGCAAGCCAAGTCAGAACATGTTAAGTTGAATGATTGTATATTATGGAAGAGGAACTTCAGCATGAGTCAAACTAGTGCTCGGGTCTCTCCTTGAACTAGCTCTGATTCAACAGAAAATACCTGGACATTTGCCATGGCGGATCTAATTAAGAATCTTTATTGTACACTAGACTGAAGCCAGTTAAATTAGTTGTCTGCCTTCTATAAAACGTAGACAATACTTATTGTACCCTCCCAATTTAAGCCAGGACCTCTTTCTCCTGCCTTTTTCATGGCTTAATGGACACCTTGCTTTGAGTTCCTCATGTTTATTGTGAGGTAGCAGTTGGTTATTGACATATTTGGCATTCCTGCCAAGAGAAACTCTAGCTCCCAATGTATCTCCCACAATAGCATCATGTGTATCAAACTGAAAATAGATGATAGGATACATTACAGTCTCAAGTCATCTTTACTATGATTAACTGTGCAAAGTTAACATTTTCCATTTCCTTTGTTTTTGTTGGGAGAACAATAGCAGGGTATTTTATAGAACAGTACAGTGTTATCATTATTAATTATAACACAGAATTACCATCCCTTTCCCATGTATATTTTAAATGGTAAATGTGCTTTCTTCCTGCTCCACAATAAGAATTTTAAAATTGCTTCAACTTCCATCAACAAGGTTCAAATCAGACAATTAAACATTAGTAAGAGATACAAGGGACTTATTAGTAAGATACAAGGGAATCGTGGCTCAGTGGTTAAGATCCTGAGCTTGTTGATCGGAAAGGTCGGCAATTTGGTGGTTTGAATCCCTAGCGCTGCGTAATGGAGTGAGCTCCCGTTACTTGTCCCAGCTTCTGCCAACATAGAAGTTCAAAAGCATGTAAAAATGCAAGTAGAAAAATAGGGACCGCCTTTGGTGGGAAGGTCCGTGTGCCTTCGACATTTAGTCATGCCGGTCACATGACCACGGAGATGTCTTCGGATAGCACTGGCACTTCGACTTTGAAATGGAGATAAGTACCGCCCCCGAGAGTCGGGAACGACTAGCACATATGTGCAAGGGGGATCCTTTACCTTTTTAAGAGATACAAACCCCTACAGTATTAGGCAGGGTTTGAAACTTAAAACTCAAGCAAAGTGATAAAAACAATAGTCCTAACTAAATGTCCTTGTTAAAAGTATTATATTTCATACATTCCTATAATATTATGCTTGGGATGGTGTAGCTAACTACTATATGACGCATATTTTGTATGTAGGACAGGAAATATTCACTCAAGGCATTCACATTACAGTTCACTATGGTGGCCTTCTCAAAGAGTTATTTGTAGTTTTCGGTGTGTTCTTATAGGAGGATGTAGTTTGGATGCTGATATGCACAGGATCAAAATTTATACAGGTAGTCCTTGACTTATGATCACATCCAAACCCAAATTTTCTATTGCTAAGTGAAACAATTTTGAAGTAAGTTGTGCCTCATTTTACAACCTTTCTTTCCAGTTGTTTAGTTAGTAATAAGGGTGTTAAATGAATCTGGCTTCCCCATTCCCCATCTTCTGCTTGTCAGAAGATTGCAAAAAGTGATGACATGACTTTGGGACAGTGCAACCATCATAAATATGAATCAGTTGCCAAGCATCTGAATTTTGATGACATGACCATAGGGATGCTGCAATGATTGTAAGTGTAAAAAATGGTCATTAAGCCACTTTTTTCAGTGCCGTTTTAACTTTGAACAATCATAAAACGAATGGTTAAGTCAAGGACTACCTCTGTCATCTGGCTATACTAGCAAATTCAACAAGCCAAGACTGTTATAGAATCCACAGTTCTATTGATACTTAAGCCTTGATAATTAGGGCTCAAACACTTGCCTTCTTCTGTCTCCCTGGTGCCCTTAAGTTTAGCACTCAAAGGCAAAAGCTACAATGAGAAACAACAGACCAGAAGTGGTATTCAGGCAGTTCTCTCCGGTTTGGGCGAACCGTTAGCAGTGGCTGCAGGAGGCCCCACCCACCCGCCTTGACGTAATGCGGGACCTTCTGAGCACACTCAGATTTGCGAACCGGTAGGAAAGATAAGTGAATCCCACCGCTGAACCAAACATTCATGCAAATCATCCCTTTTCTCTGGGGAATCTGGAAAATGAGACTTTCAAATGAGACTCAGCAACATGATTCCATTACCAAAATTTGTGAAGCAGCAGATATTTTAATGCATATGTCCATTCAGGCAAGTCCAACCTAGGGGAAGCTCTTCCTATAACCACTCTTTTGTTACAGTTAAATTCTGGGGACTGACAGAGAATATAATTGGTAGAGAATAGCGATGCATATAAACTGAAGTTACATGGGTTCCCCAAAAGTAAGTTATTAGAATATAATTAGCCTAAAGGCTGTCAAATCTGATCCTAATTAGTCTTCTAAAAACAAGAACAACAATAATTGCATCAGTAATATACAGGAGCAATAAGAAACACCCTTGGATATGGGATTATTTGCTGGCTGTACACCTGATTGCTGTGCTATTTTGTAAGTGCATCCAGTTCTGAGTCTATCATGCCTGAAATCAGACTCAGTTGAGAATCCAATCCTGCCCTATTATTGCAGTTTATATACCTGTATCACACACACTGTACTGTAATTGTTATAAGCTGCTTTACGAGGCAATTTGTGATTGAAATCTGAGATGAAATACTATAATTTAATAGCAAGGCTCATTCATATATTCCTTCAAACATAAAAGTTAACAAGTCTTTAGAATGAAGACATATTTTAGCTACTCACCTTGCTATAGTCTATTACGTTTTCTTCGCCTTGAGTCTTAAACCATGTAAGAAAAACAAATAAAATTATATTACTACAAGCCTGTAAATCATAAGCTGTACAAAGCTCTAAGAAAAATCTAACACATTGTGCTAAATAGGTAAAGGTTTTTCTGTCAGTCATGTCCAACTCTAGGGCCCGCTGCTGATCTCTGTTTCTTGGCCAAGGGAGCAGTGTTGTCTGAAAACAATTTCTGTGGTCATGTATCCAGCACAGCTAAGCTATACGCCAAAGGCACACCAAAATGGTACTTATTAATCTATTCTCATTTGCATGCTTTTGAACTGCTATGTGGGCAGGAGCAGAGGCAAGTAATGGAAGCTCACCCGATTGCATGAAGCTCGAGTCCCAATCCCAGGCTATCAGTTCTCCAGCTGAGAAGCTCAGCTTCTTTAATCATTGAGCCTTCATGCCCCTGTGCTACATAGTAAACCCATATATTTTTTCATCAGGTTTAAGGGCTCACATTTGGCTTGTCAGGTGTCTACTGGTTTCTGTTCTACTGACATCTTTCAGAGAGTGGACATGATATGTGCTGCTCAAAGAAACTAGTTCTTTCAACTACCCCTCAAGTGGAATTCTTTCTTTTGTTTCTGAGAAAGACTGTGATGAATTTATGGATCAATGAAGCATGGCCCTTAGCCACATTCTGCATTACTTTCCTCTATGCAATTACAGTCTCATGAGAAAGAATGGGAGCAAGCAAATTACGTCCACCTCTGCATGTAACCCATAGTAGAAAATACAGCTCTGAAGGATCAGCCTCACATAAAGACAGAGCTTGCAATGTAGAAAATACACACTGTCAAACTTTTTGAAGGGTTCCCCAGGAAGAAAAGAAGCAAGGGAGCAAGGTGGGGTGCTTCACTCTATTTCCCATTTAAACTACCCATTGAAGAAAGAATCATGTATTAAACGACTTATATCAAGGCTTACATTAAAATGCTTCTATTTGAGATAGCTTTTGGGAAGGAACCACAATCATAAGATAAGCAATAATATCAAAGCCAGTAGGCTAACATGTGCCCAACCAGCTGTGTTTTGAATTATAATCATATATGCATGAGCAGCTCATTCCTTCTGCTTTATGCTAGAAATATTCAATTATTGTAAAACTAAAACTGTAGGGAAGGCAGGCATATTTTAAATTACATTTATTTTTGTATTTTAATAAAATTGAGTCTAACCGGATGAATTTTAAAAAGAAATTACCATAAGAATCATAGACTTTATGCACATAAACACACTCAACAGTAGCACATTTAATTTCTAGTTCTACTAAATAATAAACATGCAAAAATGGGAAAACTATTTCTTTTCATAAATGCTTAGTGTTCTTCAAATGGAAGAGAAAAAAAGAATTATATCATTAATACCTTTTATGGAACTGAATAGTTGGATTCAGACTCTATAACTGTGGTTAATGTTAACTATTAACTATAATAGCTATTAACTGTTAACTATAACTAAAAACAAATTAATATGAGGGGATGATTATGATTTTGTAAGATGTACAAACATAGCCACTATAGATGTAATTACTTATTTACCTCTTTAATTTGCTTAATCCAGACTTCTCTTCCAACAAACTCTTGATGGAATACTACAGGAGCAGAATTTAAGTTAAATGGCAGGGAATCATTCGAATTTCCATCAATAAATGGCTGAATATCAGCATTTAGCTGAAAGAAGGGGATTAAAATAATGAAGTTAAGAGTAGTTATCCACAGGAAATGCATTTCACAACAACTAATATTATATGAAGATTGCAAAAGACAGCTGATCTTTATACAGCTATTGAGATTTGATTATTCTAATATTTCAACTGAATTTTTATGTTGATGGTTTCATTTGTTTGTTGTTAACATTACATCAATTACTTGCCATACGTACCATGAATAAGATGGGATGCAATTTTCTAGATAAATACATTGACAATTTCCAAGGAGGCCTAGTACCCTCTTTTGTCCCCTTCCACAGATGTTCCAGCAGCTATCATAACTCCCCAAATCTCTCTAATTCCATACTGAGCTCCCTGTAAACCTTCTGCTCACTCCTCCTATTCCCTCACATTCGCTTCCTGGGATTAGTTGGCTACTTTGACAGCTGTCTCAGTTTTAAAGGCTGTAAGTATATCGAATCAACATAGCACAAGGAAATGAATTCTGTGATATGCTAAATACTTCATATAAGTATTTTTCCATGCAGTTTAGTCACAAATGAACTAAATGTGTATGTGTGTGTTTTTTTTAAAAGAAACATGTTATCTACAGAAAGACATGCTTCTTGAAATATGTATGCTGGCTGCTTGGCCCTTCGGGAAGCTTTTAAAGGAAGTCATACCTTGTGACACATAGACATGTGCTTCCCGTAATTAAATGCCATCTTCTGAATTCCTACAGCGTGCTTTGCCAGCTCCATTGCAGCATGGCAGCTTTTTGCCAGCAAGACACAATGAGATTGGAAAACCTGCTCTTTCCAATCTGATATTCTGATGTCGTCTGTGAGAATGTTTTCCTAGAAACACAAAGAAAGATGTTACACATTCTAAAAATAATCAACAATGATAGAACAATGCAATTGTTCAATACGTGCCACTTGAAGCAATTCATTCTGCTGGCTTAAGAGACAGAAATAATAGAAATAAATGGTTTTTTAAAAAATGTTAAGCTTCTGTGGAATATTCTCAATATCTTTCTCCCCCCTGGCATTTACCTTTCTTAACTTATAAACCAAACTATAAATTCCTGTGATCTATCTAGATCTCTATGTTGGGATTGTAATGTGACTGAATTATAGCTAACTACTAATTATCATACTACTAATGTATGATTACAAAACAAAACAAAACAAAAATATATTAGCCTGGAAGAAAATATGAGTATATAAAAAATAGGTGGTTACAGGAAAAGCTTTGTGATGGACAGAGGGAAAACTGAACAGTTACTTGCTTTACTTCTAGAATCATCCTCTTCTATTGCTTTAAAAGAGTAGTGACAAAAGAGGTTTCAGGATGAAAGACATACATGGACATTTAGAGAGCCAGTTTGGTCTAGTGGTTAAGGCACCAGGCTAGAAAGCAAGAAACCATAAGTTCAAGTCTTGCCTTAGCTATGAATTTATAATTATTGTACAATTTTAAAGGTGGGATATAGACAAACAAACAAACATCAAGATGCCTTCATATAAATCCTGTTCTAAAAGCATTTAAATCTGCCTGGGATAGTCCAACAACTATGGATACTCAGCGTCTTAGGAGAAGCCTTCAGAACCCCAGATACTGCTGATTTAACTTGAGATCACCTGATAAACAAAAATCCCATAATGTACAGACAGAACATGCATTTGTTTATATGAGAAATGTAATATCCATAGACTGTATGTTGATATGATATATATTATTCAAAGTGGTTCACCAACATTTTGATTACATCTAGGACTTTTTATTATTGCAGTGACTTCTCTTTCTTTTCTATTATCTACCATGAAGAGATTTAATGGTCTCTATCAGGGGTGGGTCCTGGCTGCCGCTACTGCTGGTTTGCTCAGGGACATGCCGCGCATGCATACTTGATGTGCGCTGTGAGCACATGCTCAGTGCAACAAAAATTGCTATGCGCAGAAAGCAAAAACATGATGGTGTCATCTATGGCACTGCTGAGAAAACCGATTCAGGGGAGTGGCAGGCCTGGGTCGCTGCCGGTTCCAGCGACTCAGGCTGCCAAGTTACTACCGATTCAACTGAACTGATAGGAACCCACCTCTGGTCTCTTATCAAGAGTAAATAGCTGCAAAAAAGCACAGAACCTATTTGGTGACTGCCTTCAGGATGGGCTGGAAGGCAGCTAAAGATCCAGGCAAAAAGTGATTACGCCAGCTACACAATTCTGGCTCTATGAGTTACTTCAATTAAGTTGCTTAGAAGAGAGAACTAAATCTGCATGACACTATAATTTTCTAGTAAGGTATTATCTGACATAAAATTGGTAAAAAATGAAATAAAATCCCTGCATTCAGTTGTAATCTTCCTCCTTTGTGGCTACTGCCAAAGAGTGCTGTGTTGCAAGGAGATAATATGAGACTAATGGGAAAAGTAGTACAATTCCTCAAAGCCAGCTTGCTGAACGTTGTACCATTTCATTTCATTGTTTTCAACTTCCATGAAGGGAGGTGATAATGGGAAAAGAGAAGGCAACAAGGGAAACCACACATTTGTTCTTCTATTTGTGACAGTTCAGTAAATGGCAATCACGTTTATTTTAGAACAGGGATCTCCAACCTTTTGAACCTCAGGGACCACCAAATCCATAATTTTAAATCCCCCGGAGGGGAGAGTCATCCGCCTTTCGGGCCTAAGTATGCTTCTGTGAAGCCTCTGGGTAGGCGGTCCGAGAGAAAGCACCTGGTCCAGGCACACAGCATGGAAACCTCTTTTGTGTTCTTTCTCTCAAGAAGCTTGGTCAATCTGAGTGAAGGAAAATGAAGATGGGCAGACTGATGGTGGCTTGCTGACGTTGGTGGGAAAGTCAGTCCCATATTCCAGAGCTGTAACAGTCACAGGACTTGCCCTTTGGTTATCCCGGAGCAGCTCCTCCACCTAGGTGCATGCGCCTGTAGGGGAGGTCCCCATCAGGCCAGTGCACCCAGGTGGAGGAGCTGCTCTGGGATGACCAAAGGGCCAGTCCTGTGACTACTACAGCTCTGGAATATGGAACCAGCCAATGGCGGGGCTGGAAATCTCTGCCATAGGTGGGTGGCACGTGCAATGTGCAACTTTGCAGGTGGTGCAACATGCAAAAGGAGCGCAGCCCTCGACAGCTGGAACAAGGTAATGATGCTATTGCGGGGGGGGGGGGAAGCGGCCCGAAGCGGTGGTAGTGATGGCTGGAAGAAATGAAAGCAAAGTGCTACTTACATTTGTGCGGCATCAACATCCCACCTTTGCTGCGGTAAATTTACACCAGCTGCTGGTGCCAAGGCAGCCCTCATCTCCTGCTGCTTGAGGCTCGGAGTGGTAAACCACATTCAGGAAACATTACAGCAAAGAGAAGCAGCCGTAGTCAACCCTACCTTTGCTGCCCATTGCGGATGGTAGATTGCCCCCCTACAAACTCTCGTCACTCAAGGAGCCTGGCCGAAGTTTACTTCAGTGCTGCTTCAGCGAGCACTCGAGAGATGGGAGTTTGCAGGGGGCTGATCTAGCATCCGCAATGGACAGCAAAGGTAGGGTTGACCCCGGGCGCTTGTCTCCGCTAACAGGCAGCTAAGCTAACTGCCTGAAGGACCCCATCCTGTCCCTGGGAGTCAAAGCGGTGAAGTGCTAGCGGTATGGGAAACCTCTGCTGGGCTCGAGTGAAATGCAAAGAGAAATCTGTGGACCACCGAAATTTTCTTATGGACTAAGGTATGTGCTCTAAAAGCATGTTCACCTAAAATCTGAATTACTATTTACTTATTAAATTTATATGCTGACCACCATTGTGAAATGTTATTTTATTCATTTTTATTTACATGAGTATGATTTCATTTAAACACTGTTAAATCTTAATCTTTATTTATGCAGAAGAATCGTACGTCTGGCAAAAAGTAACAGATTTTGAAAGGAGTTATGTTTGTTGTCAAGTAAGGCACATGTTCATTTTAGTTTTTACATTTTACCTAAAATGAATAATCTCACTAGGTTGGGTATAAATGTTTGGCTATTATCATTTGCAGAAATGTAGCAACTGCTTCCTCCAGAACCAGAGATTTGATGTGACACTGAATGAATGTAAGAACAGAAGTGGAAGATGTAGAAGAACGGGCTGAAACAAGGAAGTGTATTGTTTCCAACATTGTATAACATATATACAATTGATTAACCAGTTCCCAACAACACATGTCTATTCATCTATGCAGATGATACAGCAGTGGCTGCACAAGGATCAATTATTGATGAGCTATCTGGGAAGCCTATAGTAGCACTTGTAGAATAAAGACCATATTACACTATCAAGGGATAGTCTATGTTGCACACATCAGCTTTGGCCTTGATGTCTGCTCCAGTGTGGGGCACATCTGCACATACGAAACACATTGATATCACCATCAATGAAGAAGGAACAGAATGTCTCAAACCTACACCAATTGAGAAAATATATCATCTTGCTGGCATTGCTCCATCTAAGATCAAGAGAAAGGTAGCAGCAGACGCCAAGAACTAAACAAGAGAATGATCCTTGACATCCTCTGAATGGCCCCAAACCTGCTGCCTTAGATCTAGGAACAGCTTTATGGCACGAATAAACATTATTGTGGATACACAAAACCAAAACCAAATTAAAAGATGGAGGAAGAAGACCATCAAGCAAGGAATAACATTAAAGGAGGATCTGGCTGAAGGATCCGACCTACCTTATAGTACCTGGCGAACTCTGAATAGGTTGGCGTGCCTAAGTGTAAAGTCAATGTGTCAAGTGAAGGCTCTTAGCAGATAATAACATGCTGTGTGAATGTGGAGAGAAACAGAACCCAGCCTATCTGCTAGTATGTCGTCTACTACCAGAAACATATACCAAGAATGACTTATTTTTGGCCAGCGACAAAACCAAGAAGGTGGCTTCATTCTGATAGTTTAAAGTTTGATCTAGACATGGAAGAAGAAACAACGGCATCCAAAGAAAGCATTCAGTCTGAGTACCTATTAATAATGGATGCAAATCAACTGCTTCATTTATTTGAATTAACATTCCACAAGGCTTGTCTGCCCACATGTGAAACAGATATCGTTCTATAATGTCAAATGTATTTAAAAGTAACTAGTATACGTACATAACAAAGGGTGGGCCCTGTCCTGAAAATAACTTGACCCTTAAAGAATAATTACTGAATAAAATGCTATAGTATTATGAAAATGATCACTTTTGATATGGAAATACATACATTCCAATCAGTAGTGGGATTCAATAAATTTTACTACCGGTCCTGTGGGCATGGCATGGCTTGGTGGGCATGGCAGGGGGAGGGTACTGTAAAATCTCCATTCCCACCCACTCCAGGGGAAGGTTACTGCAAAATCCCCATTTCCACGCAATCACTGGGACTTGGGAGGCAGAGAATAAATGGGGGTGTGGCCAGTCAGAGGTGGTATTTACTGATTCTCCGAATTACTCACAATTTCCACTACCAGTTCTCCAGAACTGGTCAGAACCTGCTGAATACCACCTCTGAATCCAATGTAGGAGGTCCTGAGAAGATTCTCATATAAGGATTATCTATCAATAAAGATGTGTGCATATACACACAAAGCAGGGAAGCTGCTTTCTCTTAGGATATTTCTAAGTAATAGCAAGATGGCATCAGCATACACAATAGTGCCTTTGATCTTACAATGTTGAAAAAAAATTAAGATGGATGAAACTTCCTGAAGATAGCCAAGTATTATGAAATCTCTGCATTTTCACATAATCTATGAGATTTTAGCCATTTACAGTTTAAACTTCACACTTTATAATAACTAACTTTCTCTTATAAGAATT